ACTGAGGGGTTTTCAGAAAAGAAGATGGGGGCGAGGAAGGGAGGAAGGTGGCCTTTCATCTGATAGATCTGATCCATCATGCCCTCTGTGAGCAGAATACTCAAGTTTCTGTATTCATCAAAAAGAGGATTTCTCCACAGTTTGGCTGAAGAGCCAAAGGGAGGGGAGACTGAGCGGAGCCATGAGCGAGTGGGACAAAAAGAGCCATCTGCAAGGAGATGGGGGCCTTTACAAAGGAGGGAAATAGGGCAATTGCCCCACATTCTTCAGCAAGGGGGACAAAGGAGTTGGTGAGCTCAGGTGAGAACAGATGGCGGGAGGCCAGAGTCCGGTGTAGGCGAGCCGGGAAGGCTGCAACTTCTGAGTACCTTGGCCAATGGGGAAAAGGAGAGGGCGTCCCTCGGTCGGGAAATTAGGATAAAAGGGGGGCTGCGTCCCCCAGCAATTGGAGAGACCCCCCAGGGATATGCCCGGTGGACTCTCCCTTTATTCGAATAAAGTTTTAGGACTCCTCTGTCTCCTTTTTGGACATTCAGTTCTCGACAGCGAGATTTTCCGCACATCTGTTCACAACTTCAGTAATGTTATGCCCTGGGGATGCTCTGCTCTTCTAACCTTGAGGGTGCCATGAATATGTGGGTTCTTCCTGGGGGTGGCAGATCCTGGAGAGCCTGGAAGGTTGGGAATCTGCTCCATCGCAGGCATATTAATAGCAAAGATGGTCAGGAGACATTCTCGAGCTTTAGCGTTGTATTCCTGGGCCTGCCCCGGGGCAAAGACAACATGGAGCTTGTGCAGGAGAAGAGGCAAGGAGCAGCCTTCTGTGTGCTCTGTGGTCCTCTCTCCAGTTGGACACCTCTCCGGATTTTCTCTGGAGACCCACACATTGTAGAAGTTGTCCTGTAGGGCACGGGAGAGCTGGCAAGCAAAACGTGGCAAGGAGTGTTTTCATTCAAGCACCAGAAGGATTAACGGGAAGCAGAAGGTTAGACCTTGGGCATGGCACCAGTGCTCAGTCTCAACCTCTTGCCAAAGCGGCTGTGAGCAGCTCCTTGCTGTTAACCCTGCGTGGCCGTGGCCGTGCCCCAGCCGTCAACACTGCGCGAAAGCAGGACGGAAACATCGTCCCTCCCTGCGAGGAGCTGGGCGTGTCCCACAGGAGGGTTACCTCGGATTCAGGCAAATCAGGACATTGGGGCAGTTTTTCCAGTGCAAATCACCCCAGCGCTGCTGGGGCGCCCGGAGCATCCTGTCCTGAAGCGCACGGGCTACTCCATGTCATGGGCTGGATTTTCCAGGTGCTGTCGGGGATGGGAGCTACTGAACTCTCCATATTTACAGGAATTGCCTAACCAAATCTCCAGGCGACCGCCAGGAGAATGCAAGCCCTCATTGTCCTCAGGCTTTCAACATGCCAGACAAATGGTGCAAGCTTGCAGGGGACTTGTCTAGCTACAGGGGGATGAGCAGGGCTGACGGGACAGAGCAACTGGGTTTTAGACTGCAGCTGTGCACATGTCTGGAGTTATTTTCCCCAGCCTTGTGCTTTCCAGCTCCTTTTGTTGGGAGCAAACCACATAGTAGAACTCACAGGAATCCCGTATTTCTGAGCACATCAACTGGTAATCACAGGGACAGCTGGAGTCTTAGATTTGTTTGCATAGGCTCCTCCACCAGAGCAGACATTTGTCTGATCTGAAGTCTGTTGAAAGGTATCTCGTTTTGTTAATTAAAAATAAAAAAAAAAAAAAAAGGGGAGAAGTGATAGCACAAATGATACCCTCCTATTTCCAGCTTGGCCACCCTGACTGTCTCCCCTTTGATTTTCAGCATTTCTGCAGTTTCTTTGTAGCTCTCAATGTCTCTTTAGTTTCCACATTGACTGATGGCCAAATTCCTGGTCCTGTTGAAATTGGTGGGAGCTTTGTTGGTAGCTTGAGCTCAACCAGAGTTTGACCCTTGAAGCGAAAACAGTTATTTGACACCAAAGGGAGCAGGTAAGAGAGACCGTTGTGCTCTCCAGATACCATCTCCACATAGCTGAAGAAGTCTAGCTGCACTCACTGATTTCCCTTCCATGGTGTCATAAACCATGGAGATTTTAGATGTGTGTGCTCAGCACACACATGAGCTTATTGTGAAGAAGAAAGGAAGATATTAGTGTAGGTTATTTCCTTGAACTCTGCTGCTGGAGGCTTGGAAGCACAGCGAGGGTTAGGTTTGCTTTTCTGCTTTACCTTCTATGGGCCCTTCAGGAGAACCCATGGATCCCAAAGGTCTTCAGATCATGGGTGGAAACGTCTGTTATTTCTGACAGAAGTGCAGTGATGGTGAGCTATGTGCCACCTCCTGCCTCTTACTTGTCCCTTGCCAAAGCCTCCTTAGTCTCCCACTTGAACACAAGTGGTTGGCATGGGAGAGCAGATGGGGTCAGCAGCCAACGTGACACACACTGCTGCAAGATGCTGTGTCCTCGCGCTAAGTGATGACCAAAAGGGGAGGAGAAGGATCTGCCAGGAGCTCAGGCACTTAGGGGAGGGAATTTTGCCCTCTCCGAGATGGTTTTGTGAGACCCTGCATCACTCGGGCTCAGATCTTTAACAGCATAAGCTATTTTGACCTTTGGCATTGCAAACCTAAAATCCTGGTTTTGGAAGTGACTTCATCTTCCCACAGCACCAGATTAAGCTAAGGGAGTTATCCTGAGTCAACTGATCCATCATGTCTGTGTCCGCGCGCCTGTCCTGGAGCAAACACGAGATTATTTCTGTCAGTGTAATCTGCAGCTAGAGCTGTACAGGCAAACATCTAAAGAGGTTTAAAATACGGGCCCCATTCTCTCTCTGTTGGCTTTTCTTCTATAAAGTAGAGCTTCATTCGCTCCTCCAGAGTCGTACGGTTGCTGCTATGCCACCATTTGCTGCTCCGTGACTCTACTTCTTGCGTGTCTGCCTGTTTGTCTCTGACTTTGCCGAGTCTGGAGAGATTCCCTTGCACATCTCCACGCAGCTCCCCAGGGCCTCGTTAAGGAGCTGAACGCTCAAGCATCCAGCAGGCTCTCAGAGCAAGTGCTGAAAAGGCAGGAGGCAGCAGGGAGCTGCCGCTGGGCGGGCTGCTAACCCAGTGCAGTCCCAGGCAGAGCGGGCGGATGCCGGGAGCGTCTCCTCTTTAGAGGGGCTGCACATCTGCCCGGTCCCTCCAAAAAGCCGTGCTCAGAAATCAGTGACTTCACTTTTTGGTGCAATTTTGGAAGGCAGTTTGATGGGGAAAATGTACTGGGAGAGAAAGAGCATTGGCATGCCCAGAAACCCATCCTGTTGACACCACAGGAGGTGACCTCCATGCCACATCCGCCAAACACAACACTCTGCTTGTGTCTTCCTGACTGTCTCAGCGTGACCCCACTTCGAAGGAGTGAGAAGCCAGGCGGGCCCTCCCATGCCCCAAGTCTTGGCCTCCTGCAAGAAGGAGACCTTTAAACTTCCTTCATTATTCTTGTGCATGTGTGTGTGTGCTGCAGACATTGATAATCTTGACAGCCCGTTTGGAAATCCGAAATGGCTAAGTTCAGTTGGAGGATGTAAGACACTCTCTGGCTGCATCTGCTGACAGGAATTTCCTCCAGCTCCAGCTTCCTGTAGAAAGAAACGAGGAAAATTTCCTCGCTCTTCAACTTTTTTTTTCCTGCAGTTTAGTGTAATAGCATCTGCTCCTGAGGAACCTGCCACACCAGATAAATTTCTAGAGGGAGAGAATTATAGCCGCAGCATTTGTGTTTCACGCAGCACCAGCCCTTCCTTCCCTGGCCCTCGCTGGGAGCCGTGTTTGGCAAGCTCTGTTGTGCAAACAGGGCTCCAGGAGATTTCCAGAAACGGGGACGTGTGGGGAGAAGAGTTCTTAGAAACTGAGCTTATTTTGTAAGAATAGCAGGGAGCTACTGTCTGTGTGTTCCTCAGAGAGAAAGGGCAACAGGGAACATTTGGTGGAGGCACTTGCATTTTTTTTTCTCTCTCGGAAATTCCTGGTGCACTTTTAAAACCACGTTGCAAACTGAGCAGTTAATTAACAGCAGCACATGCTGGGGGTACAACAGAGGTGCCAGTCCCCGGAACTATAACATAGGTTTGCCACTACTTTTGGAAAAAATATTCTGATATTTCTTCTCTGCCTGGCTTCCCGTTGACGTGACAGGATTAGCCCAGGCTTCCCTGTCTTGGGGTCAAAGCTTCATCTAACACCGAAACAAGGGAGAGCTTTTCCTAGGGACTTAAGTAACGTTATCTAACTGCTCCTGAAAACCTCAGCTGAAACAGGTCTGTTTTTGAAGGCATGAGTCAGATGTTACGGCATGTTGGATGCGGGGAGTTGTCCCCCCTGCCGTGGTGGGGGGGACCACAGCATCTGCCCCTCCAAGGTCTGCTTGGGGAGACAGATGTATTGACCCAATGGGACAGGTTGGTTTAGCACTGGTTGCCACCAACATCTCACGCACCCTACAATAACATGTGATTTTTCAAGTCTCATGTAACCGAGGTCTGGGGTTGGGTTCCTTCTGTTCATCAAGGCTGCATTTGATGTAGGTGCTCAGCAGGGTTTGGAAACGTACAAGTTGGTATAAGACTGGGCTGCTGGGATAGTTCATAGGAAGACAGCAGGGCTGAAATCATTGGGTATTATTTTTAAAGTCATTTCCATCTCACATGGCTCAGCTGGGCACTAGCAGGGAGAAAAATCGTATTTTCTGCTTCATATCTGCACTTTTTTTCCTTTAGTGTTGCCTCCAAAATGGCCTGGTCGTAATCAGCCTTTGCTGTAGGGTATCAGAGCTCTGATGCTACCAGCGCTATGTGAATGAGGCTTTTCTTTGAGAGTAAATATAATTAATGGTGCCTCTGTTTACCCTCTCAGAGAAGGTCTTCTTCATTGCTCCTCTGCTACAGATGCAAGCAGCAAAAAGGTAAGGGACAGGCACCGGTTAACATCTGTCTTGGTCTTTCCAGACGACAGCAGAGACTTCCCGGAGGAAACAAATCTCAACAGCACACGGATCATCAGCAAGGTGGCACCAAACACAACCGGGAACACCAGAAGCTCTACCAGGGAGGCCAGGCACCTCACTCCTCAGGCCGGACTGGCCACCACGGCTACAGCCAGAACCGGAGATGGCACCACAACCAGAAGCACTCACCCAACGACAAAGAAACGCACAGAAACGCCAAAGAGACTGAAAATTTGAAAATCGAGGACACCTCCATCTGCACAGTGCATATTCCTTTAGAGACCCACCGGGGCCCAGAGACTGTGGAGAAGCAGTCTCAGCAGTACATCCAGGAGTCGGAAACCAAGCGGAAAGACAGTATTCATGAGCGCATTGGGGAAAGGCCCAAGATCAATTTGCTTCAGTCTTCCAAAGACAGACTGCGGAGGAGACTAAAAGAAAAGGTACTACATCTTAGAGGACCTTTGCATTTCTTCTTTTCATGAGTCTGCCTGTTTTCCACACGAAGGGAGGGCTGGGTTTGCGGGGAGCTTCCCATGAGCACACCCAGCTTCTCTTCCAATCTCCCCGGGTCAACACTTGCCTTCAAGTGTCTCTGTGCTTCTCCACGAGGCCTTTTATTGACACTGCTGGGGCTCATCTGCACGCGGCTCCTTGGTTGAGGTTGCCATCAGGTTGAATTGCCCAAGGAGGCTGTGAAGCCCTCCCTAACACCTGCAGGAGACCTTCTCAGAGGGCCAGTGTATCGGGCAACCCTCACACAGACACTCACCCCCCGATTGCTGATCCCAGCTGCCCAAATACCAGTCTGCAGAGCTCATCTGCTTTCCAAAGAGGTCTAAAAAAGGCAATTTGTCTCTCAGTAATTAAAGAGCTAAATGCCAAGCTTAGAATTTGAGTGCTGAATATTTGGAGTCAGCTACTTAAAGCTGATATCCATTTATCTAGATAATGAATTGAAATGCCCTTATCTTTCCCCCTTCCTTCCAACTACCCAACAATAACAAAAGTATTGCATGCAAGTGACGGAGGAGAAATCCTTTCTGGAAACAACCATTAGCCTCAGATTTCTAAGGAATTCTGAGATAAAATTTCCATTTGCCCCCTGTGGCACTCAGAAAGATGCTGTTTTCAGACTGGAAAGTGCATTTGTGTGGGCATTTCCAGCGAGCAAAAATAACCTGAACATATGAGACCGCATGTTGGAAATGCATGCCTTTGAATACATGTGCATTTACTCTTTATATATGCAACCATTATGCCTTGAAGATGCCTTCATTTTTCTGTCTGTTTATATGTCTCCCCAATGTCCCTTCCCCTTTTGTTGTTTCTTGAAGAACAGGGGCTGATCTGTCTTTTTTTCCTTGGGTAACAGATGCCTTGTCTCTCCCTTTTCACGGACCAGGATGAAGTCACAGTGGAAACCACCAATCCCCAAAAGAACAAAATGGACAAATTAATTGAAATCCTCAACAGCATGAGGAACAACAGCAGCGATGTTGACTCCAAGCTCACCACATTCATGGAGGAGGCCCAGAACTCCACCAACTCTGAGGAGATGCTGGGTGAGATTGTCAAGACCATCTATCAGAAAGCAGTGACGGACCGCAGCTTTGCTTCCACAGCTGCCAAGCTCTGTGACAAAATGGCCCTCTTCATGGTGGAAGGAACCAAATTCCGGAGCCTGCTCCTCAACATGTTACAGGTAATGAGATCTTTAGTTAATTAGATACCTGAAGCTGCATCCAGCCTCTTCCTACCATAACTTATAAGAGCTGAGCTTTGACCAAATTCCATTTGTGCCCAGTTTGTTAGAGGAGAACAAAAGTGTTTCTGCGGTTTTGTTTATGCACATTTTTTGTGCTTGCCATAGACAGTGGAACATTGTAGGCATCATCCAGTTACTGTTCATTTCCATTTGTTGAGCTCTACGTGAAAATCTGTTGTCTCACACCAGTGCCCATCTGTAAGGTGAGCAGGTTCCTTATGACAACATCTCTACAACATTAAGAGAGGAGAATGTGGCACTTGCAGTGGAGGGTCCTTCCTGCTGTCCTCAGCTAAGGCCCATCTCTCTTGCTGTTTTCCCACACCTCTCAACACCAGGGATATCAAATTAAGTCACAGTCCCAGCATAGGCTGTTGGCTGCATGGCCTGGCCAAATGGGTCCCTCCTGGTTTCTAGTTGCTGGCCTCATCTCGTGTGGCTCACAGCTGTACCAGTTGCGCTTGCCACCCAGAGAATCCTCATTTGTGTATTTGCTGATTATGCTGGGTGACTTGTTTATTGGTATATGCAGCGCCAGTTGGTTGTCCTGCTCTAAAACCGTAAACAAAGATAGGAGAAAAAAAACAGCGGCTCTGGTAACTAGCCCATACTAATGGTGCATGGTGGGGAGCTAGGGCTGTCCTGCAGTGGCAGCAGTCTGCTAGGGGCGCCGGATTACTGTACTGCTGCTATGTGGCTGGGTTTGTTTTCTGGAAAGGGTCTCATGGTTCTGCTACCTCTGCCTCCCTCACTTACCTGCCTCACTTCCTGGTGTCGCAGGATGCCCAGTCCCTCTGATTGTGTCTTGGTGTGAGACCCCTTCCAGAGGACCAGCGAGTGGCACGTACACCTCCACCTTTCCCAAGGACAAGAGATGTGGAGTAGAAACCTTGAGTTGAAACCTTGAATTTGTGTCTTTAAACTCAGCTTGCCAGTTCTGTGTGGAGACTTATGGGACTGGTGGTTCCTTTATTTTTCAACTTGAAATGATCTGCCCAAACCTGGTCAAGGCTGGTAGAGACTAAAGCTGCTAATACCATGTCAGTTTCAGCATACTGTTAGCTATGCAAGGCCATCCCCAAACCCATGGCAGATGAAATAGCATGCTGGGTTGTGCAGGAGACACTGGGAAGGTGGTGGTGCATCTTACTTGCTTCTTAAAGTAGAGGCTGATCCATATTTTTTAGGACATTGTAGGCTGATGTTGGATGGATGGGGAAGCTGTAAGAGCATGATGAGAGATGATCCAAACATCTGGACTGCCCCTGCTATGTCTGTACTAGCACTGCGTGGGGCAGGGTCCTCCCTATGCCATCCCGTTCTGCATGTGCATGTGTCTCGTGCAGAGGTTGGGACACTTTGGTTGACACAAGGTCCCTGGGGGTGTTGCGAGCTTGCAAGTCTGGCTGACACGAGACCATTAGTACCCCAGCGGTCTGGGAGTTGGATGTGAATGGCACCTGTCCCGGCACTATCTGCCACGTGTTGCATATATATATATATGCATATAGAGATAGGGAAGGGGAAAGCCGTTCCCAGGAAAATGGGAGCAATCTGGTGCTGTTGTGACAAGGAGGCCCCTTGGACATAGGGACAGAGGAGCAAAGATTGAAGTCCTATTGCCCAAGAGCTGTTCACTGGCCTGTTACTTTATTTTATACTCATTTTGCTGTTCCCTCACACACAAGTCATCTGCAGCACATGCATAAAGCAGCTCTCTTCACCTGTGACTGTGTTTTGTGCAAATGGTTGATGTCCCAAACTGCTCTGGTTTTGGAGCGTCTGTTGCTCTTGCTGGAGTTCATCACTGTGGTTGCTCATTTGCCAGGTTGTGCCTGGATGTGAGTGCACTGTGCAGGTGGAGTCATCTTTTGGGCAAACAGCACGTAGTGGTCACCAGTGCTTCTGATCCTGCTATGGATGTAACGCTGGAATGAGCTTCCTGTTTATTCCTGCTCGCTGGATACCTCCTCTGTTGTGTTTAGAGCTGTCACTCATTTATAGGCATGGGAGAGAAGAATCTCCCTTGTTCTGCCACGAGCATAGACCTTACTCCATGGGGACAATCCCTGCCTCCATTTGGTGAATGATAGTTTGGTGTAGCTGCCAGTCAGAGAAGGAGACAGATATCCCTGGTGTCCTGCCTCTGCTGCCAACTCATGGGGCATGGTTTAGCAAACATAGTGGTGATGGGTTTGCGGTTGGACTTGATGAAAGTCTTTTCTAACCATAATGATTCTATGATTCTAACATGGCTGTGGCACTGCTAGAGATCTCTGTCCTCTGAGAAGCATCCAGAATAACAGCACTCGCTGGAAATGCTAGGATTTTTTTTTTTCCCCAAAAATGGCAAATGGAAACATGGCCTAGAAACACATACTTTAAGGAAGGTGTTTCCTGCAATGGACATTCTTGTGGAAATGAGAGGGAAGCTGGTAGGTAGCCAGTAGTCTGGTAGGTTTGGGTATCTACCACGTCCAGGGATCTTAAGATTGTTGCATTAGTGATCAGTCTTTGCCCTCGGATAGGTTCTTCTTCTCTCTGCCTCAATTTGAAAGAGCTAATTCCTGAGGGAGTTAATACCCCAGGCACTTCTGAGAGATCGAGCTCACACAGAGCCTCCTGAGATATGCACAGAAAGATGCAGTGTGAAGGGCAAAACATCAGGTTTTTACTAGTTTGTTTTGCCCTGGTTCATCTTGCACTCAGGAAGACCTCAGGGACTTGCTGATCTCACATACACCGTGTCTCTGGAGAAAGGAAATTACAGCAGGGAAGGACTTGGCCCCAGCAGCAGTGAGAAGAAGCACGTGTGTGCTGCGTGCAGCTCTCAGCTGTTGTCCTCCTCATTATAAATGTCTTTTGTGGCAACACAGTAAACATGCAAGGGGGGTAACCTGCCGGATCAGCAGCGTGAGGAGTCTCCAATCTCACTTCCTGATGGTACTAACAGATGGAGGAAAACTACAAGTCCGGTGGCAGGGAAATTCCATTACTCAACTCTCCACGTCTTGCAGTCCATGAGGTTTGCGTTCATAGAGTGCTTTGCTTCCCCAACAGTGAGCCAGCAAGAAGGCAGGCACGTCTCATGGGCACGGTGGCTGCCCGATGCGCAGGATCACAGAGAGACGGACTCTGAAATCATCTGGAAGCAAAGTCTAACAAAATGCAAAGTTGTCCAGGGAGCAGTCCAGGGAGGAATACTTACTGCAGGGAGACCTGGAGTGGGATCTCTTAATCCAACGTGATTCAGAGCTTTGGCCTGGTGGCTATGCTGAACTTGTGGTTTGACTTTTTGGCAGCAGAACTTTTTCTATCATCAGCCCAGTTAGGCTGCTCCTGTCTGTCCCTGTTGGTTCTTCCACCCCTGCCCTGCCGTCTTTGCCCAGGTCTGACCAAGGCTTTTGTGACATGAATCAGACTGAGGAGCTGATCCAGCTAAAATATAACTGAGCAGAAAACAAAAAGGAGGGGAAAGGGGTCGGGGGGAAGTTCTTCTCCAGCTGGATTAGTTCCCCTTTGTGTCTCCTATCACAGCAGCTCAAGCACGTGGGCTGGCACAGCGTAGGAGGAGCGAATTGGGGGATGTCATTGCTCAGGCCATCAGAGCTGCTGAAACATTGCTCGCCAAATTCTGTGGAATTCTGTGATTCTGTGAAATGATGCCTAAATGGCATGACCTCATCCTTGACGCAGAGCCGGCATGCGCACAGCCCCGCAGCGTGGCCGCCTGGCAGCATTTTGGTCTGGTCCCAAATCTCTTGCAAAGCAACTTGGAAAAGAGTGAGCAGGCAAGTCACCATGCTGGTCTGCCCATTCTCATTAGGTTTAAATTAAGCCGTTGTCTCCTTTTAAGGGGAAGAAAGCTATTTTTAAGGAGAAGAATTTGGTGCAAGAAAGAATCCAGCCAAGGCATGCTGTTCTTGGTACAGATTTTATCCCCAAAGAGTTGGTCCTTTGCTAAGGAACTAGGAGTTTGTTTGAGGCAGAGACGGAGAAAAGTAGAAGAGACCCTTGGTTTGAGGTTGCTGCGAACAACAAATCTAGTGAACCTCTGTGATGTTCATGTGGGAATAGCATCTATTGGTGGAAACATGGCATTTCTAACAAAGTTCAAAGCTGAAAATCAATATCGAATGTAAATCAAGATAAGCTCACAAACTGTCGTCTGCTCCGTTTTTGCTTTGCCCATCACCTTGGAAGTGGTCAGCCATTGGACCCCTGCGGGCATCCAACCCAGCCCCTCTCCCTGCAGCATTTCTTACCAATCCAGTTTTCCCATGCGGAAGCCTTGAGCGTTCCCAGACACCGCACAGATCTGGTAGTCACTTCTACCCAGCAGCAATTTTCTTCTGCTCACTTTATTTCAGAAGTGATTATAGAGCAGGATGAGACAACTTATGGCTGTGCTCACTAGCGTCCAGCTCCATCAGAGCGTAAACAGGCAGATCAGGTTTGTTGCAATCACTATGGAAAATAGTGGCAGCATGAGCACAAGGAGAACAACACATCATTTCTCCAGAGAAACCTGTAGGGCTCTTCGGAAACACGTAATAGGTCTCCCTGAGCTCCGTGCACAGGCGGGGAATGTGATACCTGTTTTGGAAAGCGGCAAGGAAATCAGCTGCAGAGAGAGAACAGACCATGCAGATAACAGATTTGCAAGAGCACAGACAATCACACAGCAATTTGTTCAGCCCCAAAACCCTTGTCTTTTAAAAAATATCTTGACATGGCAAAAGGTCGCGGATTACTACAGGTCAAAAATGTAGTGTTATCTAAAGTTAAATAATTTATCATTTCATATCTGATAGTCAAGTATTTTGACTTTTGCCACACACCCTGCTTATTTTTCCAGCCAGGATAATTGGACGGATTCGCACAAATTTGTGAAATATTTTGGTCAGCCCTAAGAGTGCAGTTTTTGCAACACACTG